GACTGTAAATCTTTATAGGAGCAGACAGCCTCATCTTTCTCATGCAGAATGGCTGGTGGGTTAGAATTGCCAACCACGAGGTTAGCAGCCTAATGCTTAACTCACAGCACCACCAGGGCTCCCTAAGTTCATGATCACAGTATTTTTCACTTTGGCGAGGAGGAAACTATGGTTCAGAGAAACGAAATCTCTTCCCAAAAGTCACCCAGTAGGTTAGCTTCTCAAGTATTCTGACTTCCTGTTAGAGAATAAACAGCTTCCTGTAAGGAATCACACAGAACTGGATTCAATACCAGTATTCACAGATCACTAGGCTATGAAGCTACAAACAAGCCACCTCACCTCACTGAACCTCACAGTCCTCATGGAAGGACTAAATGAGCATATGAACCCCATCACACAATGCCTGCTACACAGTAGGCATTTGGTATATGCCAGTTCCTCACCTCACCCAGTCTTGCCACACAACTCTCATTCACTCTCTGACATCAAGTCAGAGGACTCTAGACAAGTCACCAGACTTCAGATTGTTGAATTACTTTCGAAGACATCTTCCTTCTCAGATGCACAGTACAAACATATTAAAAGTTATAAGTTGCAATAGCAGTCCCACAGAAAGCTTCCCACCAGCCATCAAATCTGGGGGTGGTGAACATTCATTCCATTCCAGAAGTGGTAGAGGAAAAGCAAGGAAGTGAAAGAAAATCCGCCAGAAACATGAGAGAGCATCAATTCTTCTTTCTGCCAGGAAAAGGCAGTGGGCGATGCGATCAGAATCCTAACGACTGATGCCCATGGCTAGTTTGTGAAGCACGGACACTATGGGCCACGTGACCAGGTCATGTTTCTTTAGAATGGCAAGACTTTTTCTGCAAGCCCTGATTCACCACCGGGAATTTTTATTTTTAATTTGATAAGCATCCTCACTCCCACCCTAGGGAAGAGTTGTGGGATGTCCTAGTCTCTACCAGGGGACTAGGAGCCAGCTCTAGAACTTCTGTGGTCACTGGGATGTCTGGATACACACCACTCCTGGTCCAGAACACCACTGGAGAGGCACATCAGTTCTAGGATCCTAATATAGGGAGAGAGAGGCATAACCCCCCGTGACCTGAACATACACAAAGCACAAGATGATAACTGACCATCAGAGCAAGAGTAAAAGGAAAATAATTCTTAAGCCACAACTGTTCTTTTCCTTCATGGTCTTGACCACCACCCCCCCAAAAAGGGTCCCTTCTCATCAGAAAGCACAAAGACAATATGCTACTAATCACACAATAGGCCTGGCCCTGTCTTAAACCAGATGTTCCCATCTGTGTCTCTACTTGGTGTACCCTTTTAACACCAAGACAGATGGCTTTTTAAAAAAAACTCCTGACAATGTTGATAATAGGTTTTTATTTTCAACTGCCAACTCAAAATACACTAGCATCTAAAAATAACTTTGCATCTATATGGCAGGTCTTGTTAACAAGAGATGACATTTACCTTAAAGGCATAAAGGCACAAGACCATTAATTCACCATGACAAAAATTATAAAGAGGTAATAAAGTAAGGATTCTCCAGCTAATAATATTACTAAGGATGGAGTGAATGATGAATTTTAAGACTAATCTCTTTGGGTCAGTTCATTATTCCAGTCCCTCCAAAGGTTAATGTTAAATCAATCTGGTTGTTCCCCCTTTGCTTCCAAAAGGAACAAAGTTTCTTTCACCCTTGAACGTCTCTTCCCATTTTTTGGGAGGTGGGGTAGGATGGAGACCACAACTTCTTAGGCTACCTGCAAATCTCCCTTCCATTCTCCTTTTTGTCCTCATCTTAATGTTCCATCCCCATCTTCCTCCACATGCTTTTCACCTGCTAATCACTCGGCACTGGTAGCATAGTGGTTACGAATCGGGCTGTGAACCACTAGGTCAGCAGTTCGAAACTACCAGTTGTTCTGCGGGAGAAAGATGAGGCTTTCTGCTCCCGTAAAGATTTACAGCCTAGGAAACCCTGTACAGGGTCACTATGAGTCGGACCCAACTCGACGGCACATAACAACAACAGCAACAATAACTCGGCACAAGCTCTAGATTTGGTATTTTCTCATCTCTTGGGGTTTCTATTTATTATCTACTTATCACCTTTCTCTCTCTCCTATATTTTCTCCCTTTCCTCTTTTTCTCCATTCCCTTCACATCAACTTAAGTTTCTCTTACTTAAAAAGACTTTTCTTCATTCACATTCAAACTTATCTCTTTGCCTTCTTCCCTGCATTCAAAATGTCTTAACAAGATTAAGTCCACATTCCTTGCTTCTCCTTCCTTCCTTCCTTTGTCACTTTCTGCTGCCCTGACTCCTCACAATCACTACTGTGATCTTCAAATGGACCAACTCTCTCTAATATCACCAAGATCCTCTATCTGCCAATTCCAAAAGCTATATTACAGCCCTTACCCTTCCTTACCTATCTTGCCCACGTAATATAGCGCTCTTCCAAAAATAACCTCTTTGTTCTCTTGGTTTTTATTAAATTATTCTCTTAGTTCTCATGGCATCTCTCTGATCAATTCTGTTTTAATTTCCGTTCCTGACCTCCTCTTTTACCACTTAAATGTTGCTACTGCCAGGATTCTTGCCTTGTCTCTCTTCTTACTCTATAATCTAACTCAGTGATCTTATTCACTCTCCCAGCTTCCATTGCCAACTACATGATGATAACACCTAGATAGCTCTCTTGATTGCACTAATGAACTCTGGATCAAACATTTTTCCCTTGCTATCCCACTGGCATGTCAAACTCACCATGCACCAAACTGAATGGTTTCTTCTTCTGAGCAATCTCTTAATGATACCACCAGCCTTCCAAGACAAAAACTTGGGAGTCATTCCTATCCCAACCTCCTCTCATCCAATCACCCAGTCCCATCATCTTAGCTTACCTGTTGTTAAGTGCCATCAAGTTGGTTCCAACTCATAGCAACTCTGTATAGAGTTTTCAAGGAGCAGCCGGAGGGTTTGAACCACCAACCTTGCAGTTAGCAGTTCAGTGCTTCTCTAACAGTGCCACACCTACTCTACCTTAAATCCCACTTGCCATGAACTCCCCTTAGTGACTACAACAGCTTCTTTGTCTGCCTCTAATTTTCCCTTCTTCCAATCCACTCTCCACACTTCCCAGCATCATTCTTTGAAAATGTACATCTGTTCTGGCCAGGCTCTCAGGTAAAAACTTGCAATGACTTTTCTGAAATGCAGATTTGCATCCAAACACTTTGCCATGGGTACAGAGTCTTCACTGATCTTTCCCTTGTCTCTCTCTCTAGCAGTGCCATATTCATGCACTCATTCATGCACTACCATCTCTGCCACTGGACCATGAATGCCTTGCAGAAAGGGACTAGATCTTATTCCATTTTGTGCACCCAGTGTCTAAGGCAGTGACTAGCACATGGTTATGGTACTGGCTGCATGCCACCAAGTTAATTCCAACTCATAGTGACCCTGCATAGGATTTCTGAGGTTGTAAATCTTTACAGGAGCAGAAAGCATCATCTTTCTCCCATGGAATGACTGGTAGATTCTAACTGCTAATAGTGAGGTTAGCAGCCTAGGTCATAATCCCCTATATTACCAGGACTCATTGGTTAGCAAATAGTGAGCCTATAATTTACTTGTCCAAATAATCATGTCTCTAAAGATGTACATTCAAAAGTAGCATGTAAATTAAATAAATAGAGGCAGAAAAAATGTTAAGGATGATTGCTGCCATATTGAAAACTACAAGTCAGGTGACATGTAGCCTTTTGTCCAACTTACCAAACTTATAAAGTACCCATGCCTCAATCAAAAGATGCTTACTTGTTCTAAATAAGGCAGCGTAGCTCCATTCCAACTAGTCACCAATTTAAGCAGGCCACTCTAGATCCTAAAATAGTATGGAGGCCTATTCTGTTCTTATTCAAAACTTTCCTTTCCAGAATTTCCCCTACATGGCATTCTAAAACCACAACTCTTGATTAGACATTTTCTCTATTGTCTCAATTCTTAAATTGTTTTTGTTTCATTACAGGAAATTACAATGAACTCCATTTCAATAAAAACCAACCAGCTGCCAGCCATTCATTAAGATTCTTCTCTCAGAATGTCTTCCAATCACCCCCAGCTCCCACTTCCAAGATAAAAAGTTCCGAGGCAAGTCATTGTATAAAAGGGGTAGAAAACTGGAGCCATACCAATCAAAACCAAAACCAACTGCGGTAGAGCCATTTCCCACTCACAGTGACCCCTTAGGGTTTCCAAAGCAGTCATTTCTATGGCTGCATACTGCAACATCTTTTTTTCTTAGTAGGCTGCTGGGTTCAAACTGCCTACTGTTCATTTAGCAGTTAAGTGCTTAACCATTGTGCCACCAGGAGTCCTCTAGCCCGAATAGCACTGGGAAATCAGTCTTGCTACACTAACCCCCTCTGGTTGAGGCAATCTCCTTCTTACCCCATGATTATGAACCACCAGCAATAATGACTGGCTTCTTTTCTCACTCTTAGAACAGTGATTTTCAAAGAACACTTAAACCCCTGAACAGCTGTTAACAAACTAAAATGGAAAAGGAAAGTAGTGACCTTGCAAGGGATGGCACTGATTGGAAGGAAAAAGAGACACCTCGTTTGCCATTCTGATGAAGTCTTCAGGGGAAGCCAGGTGATAATCAAAGCAGGGACATTCCTTGTTGGAGAGAGTGGAGGGCAGTAAAGAGCTACTTGGAGGCAGAAGTCTCACAAGTCGTATTCAACTTTTACTGTACTCCCCTAAGAAGATGAAAACGAGCTCCTGGAGACTTCCTCAGAAACGTGCAACTGTCCCCAGAATAGTGTACACTGCTATTTCATTGTTAAAATATATTCTCCCGAAATGATTTTGGTGCTTTCAAGATTAACTGTTGATTAGAGAGCTGAACACTGTCAAAAGCAAACATTTTCCAGAAAGATAAATGACATACACATTCAGCTACCTTGTAGGGCTCCCCAAAAAGATCAAAGCCTGACGAAAAGAGATCTTCTTCTTGCTGGACTTCTTGATTCCTCCGCTCCCATTCCCTCTTTTTAAGTGCACTACGGTCTTGTTCATAGTGACTGACAAGAAAAGAAAAAGACAAAGGAATAATTAGTCATCTCAGTCATTCAAGATCACCTTCGTTTTCAATAAGGAGTCCCTGGGGGGTGCACACATACACTTAGGCACTGTACTGCTACCACAAGTTGGCAGATCAAACCCACACAGAGGCACCTTAGAAAAAAGGCCTAGGGAACTATTTCCGAAGCCTCTGGTAGCGTAGTGGTTACGAATCGGGCTGTGAAGCTTAAGATCAGCGGTTCAAAACTACCAGCCGCTCCGCGGGAGAAAGATGAGGCTTTCTACTCCCATAAAGATTTACATCCTCGGAAACCCTGTACAGGGTCGCTATGGGTCGGAACCGACTCGACGGCACTTAACAACAACAGTCACTGAAAACCCTATGGAGAAGTTCTACTCTGAAACACAAGGGGTCAACAAGGGTCAGAATCGATTCAACAGCATCGGTTTAGACTTGGGTTTTGTTAGCAATAAGAAAGAAAAATGGAAGCCACACTCATACTAAGTTGACTGCTACAAAGTCTTGCTGAATTTAACATCCTGACTAAAGAAGAAAGCATCATTTAGCTTCTCAGAAATTGTCTCCATGCCCATTTATCCTGTGGCCTTTCCTTTCCTTGATTACTATAGGCAATTACACACTCCCCCAATATCGCTCCTCTGAGCCCAAAGACACCAAACTAAGGTTATATGGCTTTGTCACTTTCAGAGCTCATAACTCACAAATGTCAAAGTCCTACGGGCTGCAATTCTACAAGCATGGAGCTAAAGACACATTGGAATTCTGTTCTAAGCCCCCAGACAGGGTTTGCCTGCTTTAAGGAGGTAAGAGAAACGCCACAAAAACCCCACTGCTGAATCACCCACTTTGATTTCACTTTGTCTTCTTGTCGTTATGTTTTCATCTCCCCATGATCTGACTTCCCTAATCTGACTGGCCTCTGTCTAAGGAAGGGTTCTGGCTTGAACAGTCAACTATTACCATGAACAGAGTTGAGACAATCCTTGGATTGACCTGAAATCATCAATGTTTCAGGAAGAGAGTAAAACCCTGCCTTCCTCCTGGCATTTCCCATTGGAGGATCAGTAGACAAGCTTCCAGACAGTTTTAGGATGATTTCTGGGCCCTTGGGTTTTATAGAATTGAACACTTCCTTCTAAGGAAAAGCATGATTTTGTCATCTTGCAAGACTGTGCAAATGAAAAGGAAATCTATCATTGTGAGGGTACTGTGTTTGATTTTGTTGGTATTTTCCCTCCTGCTTTTGATTTAAATCTTGCCCATACTGAGAACATACATGCTGGGCAAATTTAAATGACAGGAATGTAGGTAAAATGCCTAGCAGGTGAAGTATCTATGTTGTTTTCCTATCCCCTGTTAACAGGACCACATTAAGACTTAATTAGATAATTGACATGCAAATGAGCAGAAGAGCAAAGGGAATTAGAAAACCTCCACTGATAGAAAGATGCAGTCAAAGGTTTTGAAAACATCCTAAACCACAGTGCCTGTCATTGGTTTGTGCTTATGAGCATCACCACTTTAATTTACAAAGTAAGAGCTGAACACATGAAATATCCACGGTGCTTAACTAGATATTGACATACAAGGAGTGTAAGATGCCACTACACTCAATCACCCACCTTTCTCCACAGGATTCTTTGAACTATCAAATTCAAAGTGACTTTGACAGCCTTATCTTCTGGATAAATAACACTTCATTCCTCTAGTTTAAAATTGTGGCAGCATATAAGGCTGTTGAATGCACATTACACGTTCATAATACAAACGATGCCAAACACATAGGAGCTCAGTGGGCCACTTGATGAGTATGCTCAGCTAATGTTATCACTGTCTGGGAAAAAAATCAAAGAAAACCATTCCCTGAGACCTACTCAAAAAGCCCACTGTCCACATCTGGAGCCTTGAGTGGTCAGAAAATACACCTATTCCCGACACTGGAAGCCAGGCTATCACATGTCATCTCTCCTTTGATTCACAAAATGTTGAGATCAGACCCCAAACTACAGTCATCATGTGTTGGACGGGGATGTGGAACCAATCATCCATCATCTTAAGTCCCTGAACCTTGGAGTATGAGTTTGTATTTAAACAGCACGTATCAGTTGAGTGTAATCCTAACTCACTGACTTGGCAACATTTAAGACAGTAGGGTGTCAGGGGTGAGAGTGAGGTAACAAGTTCAAGCAGTATTCCATGGAGTTAGGGAACTAGGGGCTTTTGCATAGAATGGCACTTAATTCCTTGGCCTCTCACACAGACAAGAGCCAGAGTCTCTGGCTTCTGAGTAGTTCTAGGAGCAAGATGTCAGTTTTCCAGTTGTGTTCATTTCATGCACCTGACAGCCCCAGATGACAGGTCCATAGATCACGTTTAATTCTCCCATGAAGAGAACTGAAGCACTTTGGTCTCTTGGCTTGGCAAACTACCTTTTTTCTCCTCTGAGGGAAAAAATATAATTAAAACCCTGAAGGGGTGGGGGGAAGAAGAAGAAAAAGGAAACGTGATTCAACTTGCACGACAACCCTTCAAAGGGCCAGTGATAAGGGCTTTTATTGGTATTTTCCACCCCAGGATGGTACATTAGGCACTTTTGCATCATCAGTTCATTAACCACAGAATTCCAGAGGAACATCTGAATCGCAGATTGAATGAGCACACTGGTGTTATTTGTTGCAAGCAAAACTGCCTGGTGTCTTTCTTTCTTTTTTTTTTTTTTAACACAAATAACAAAGAGCAACTAATTCTCATATCTCTGGTGAGAATGAATTTAATCTCCATAGAGTGTCATTGCTTTTGGAAGCCAACCAAATATCTCCCACTTCTTTTCCCTTTGCGCTCAGCGTGGTGTGGTATTGAAAGCTTCACACGGCGAGGTATAATGAGGAATGAACTACACGGTGATGAGGCTTTCAGAGTGTAGGACATCACTGATTTCTGACTGAAACCAAAATTACTAATTTGAAGCAGCAGCTAATTAAAACCACAGCTATGTATTTAGCCTCTTGTTATACCTACTGCCGTTTATAATTATGAGCACCTCTTTATCTTCTCAATTAAAGTTCTTCTGATTCAGGCCAGTTGTGTTTGAACCTGTGAGTCCTGCAGAGGCCATAGGAAAATGATGTCTGTTCCCTGATGATTTGATGTTGCTTTACACTCCCAGGCTTGTTTTCCAAAGGGGGAGAGGGCCAGGGAACCATTAGGAAATGTTCAAGCCAGAAGTTGGAATTAGTCATTCTATTATTGTGCTGATGAGGCTGGGATGAATTGGTCCTATCAGCATGAAAGTCCACCTGGGAAGTTGCTCCAGGAAGCTCAATTCAAGGATTTGTCACTCTTAGCAAGGGAGGATGGTTCTACAGCTTCCTCACCCCCACTCTATCCCTGGTATAATGAACATTTTTGTATTATGGTGATATCAAAACTACTGAGCATTTGAAACCACATACACTTTTTTTTTTCTTAAATGTTTTATTGTGAATTACGTGATACTTTACATGGGAGAACATTAGTTTTACATTCATTTTATCATATATGGTCTCATTGCCATGGTTACAATCCCCTTCATGCATCATCAGCCAACCAAAGGGTATACCCTGCAATCCTTCCCCGTAACCCCCAGGTCTTCAGCACACAGTCGCTCTCCCTCTCTGGATCTAAAGCCTCCAGCTGCTCCACATATACTTTTAATGGACCAAATGGCTTTCTTGGGTTTTTCTCTCTAGAGACTGCTGTTGTTGTTGTTAAGTGCCTTCAAGTTGGTTCTTACTCATAGCAACCCTCTATAGGGTTTCCAAGGAGTGGCTGGTGAGTTTGAACCACCAACCTTGAGATTCAAACTGACCTTGCAGTCTGGCGCATTAACCCACAGTGCCACACCAGGACACTCTGAAGACTACCTTTTTGGAACTCGTCTTTTCCTGACAAGTACTGGTGGAGCAGTGGTTAAAGTGCTCAGCTGCTAACCAGAACTTGGGTGCTTTGAACCCACCAGTCACTCCACCGGTTGGCTTCCTTAAAGATTGTTGTTGTTGTTGTTAAGTGTCGTCGAGTCGGTTCCAACCCATAGCGAGGGTACCCTGTATAGGGTTTCCAAGGTGCAGCTGGTGAGCTTGAACCACCAACTTTGCAGTTCAAACGGCTTTGCAGTCAGGCACATTAACCCACAGCGCCACACCAGGATTACAGACTAGAAAATCCTATGGGGCTGTGTCCTATAGTGTCGCTATGAATCAGAATTGACTGAATGGCAATTGGTTGAATTTGGGGTTATTATTTAGCGGGCATCTGTACTCTCTCTGATGCAAGGAGGAATTCTCGCTCTCATGAGATCTTTCTATTGACTGTGATGTTGTGTACCTGTACATTTCCCTGGAAAATACAATAACAAAGTAACTGTCATAGTTCCCCAAGGAGAAACCTGAAGCCCAACAGGTAAGGGAAGCCCACTGCTCTGTCTTGTGCCGTGGTTCTTGGATCCGCTGTTGCTGCTCCTCAGATACTCCTCTGGTGTCACCGCTTTCTGTTCCCGGGTCAAGGAGGTTCTCCACTCCTGGCTCTTCTGCTGTGATGCTAGAGATGGTCCCTCTGGTTTCTGTGACAGCTCACTTTTAACCAGTGTGTTCCCAATGATTATGAACTCCATTAACATTCATAGCTGAATCATGTCATTCTATCAGTATTTCCTCCCATCTACTTCTTACCCAGACCTAGCAGAAAAAGTGACGTTTGGTGGGAGTTATTACAAAGACAAAGCTAGAAGCGACACATTAAATAATGAAGCAGAAAGCCTCAAAAGAAGATGGGAGGAATACAAAGAGTCCTGTATCAAACACTTCTTTTTGATCAAGAAGCAACAATACTGAAGGAAAAAGTCCAAGCTGTAAGGAAGGTCAATTTAAAAAAAACAAAACAAAACAGGACTTAAGGAATACAAATTGATGTGCTTCAACAAACTGATGCAGTGCTAGGGGCACTTGCTCATTTATGCCAAGACATTTTGAAAACAGTTACAGCATGTTTGAAGAAATCCACATTTGTGCCTACTCCAAAGAAAGGTAACTGAACAGAATGTCGGAATCATCGAACAGTATCATTGATATCACATGCAAGTTAAAGTTTGCTGAGGATATTTCAAGTAGTACATTGACAGTGAGCTGCCATAAATTTAAGTTGCATTCAGAAAAGGATATGGAATGAGGGCTATCACTGCTGAGACTAGAGAATACCAGAAAGATGCTTACTTGTGCTGTCTTGACTATGCAAAGGCATTTGATTGTGTGGATCATAATAAACGATGAATAACATTATTAGAACACTTCATTGTGGTCCTCAATAACCTGTACATAGACCAAGAAGCAGTTGTTCAAACAAAACAAGGGAATACTGAATGACTTAAAATCAGTAAATTAACCAGGGTTGTATTATTTCACTATACTGTATGTTGTTGTTACTAACTGCCATAGAGTTGGTTCTGACTCATAGAGAGCTTGCATACAGTATCTGAGGAGCAGCTGGTGAATTTGAACCGCCGACCCTACAGCTCAAACTGACTTTGCAGTCCAGCACATTATCCTGCAACATCACACCAGGACTTTAACTATACAGTAAGCAAAATATCCAAGAAGCTGGATTATATGAAGAAGAATATGGCATCAGCATTCAAGAAAGAACTCATTAACAATCTGTGATATACAGATGAGACAACCTTGCTTGCTGGAAGTAAAAAGAACTTCAAATATTTACTGATGAAGATCAAAGACTACAGCCTTCATTATGGATTGTACTTCAATATAAAGAAACAAAGATGCTTTAACAATTGGACCAATAAATAGCATCATGATAAATGAAGATTAAAGTTGCCAAAGACTTCATTTTGCTTGGATTCATAATCAAAACTCATCAAAGCAGCAGTTAAGAAATCATTAGGCAAATCTGCTGCATAAGACCACTTGAAAATGTTAAAGAGCAAAGATATCTGTTTGATGACTAAGGTACACCTGACCCAAGCCATGGTATTTTCACTATAGGATAAGCTTGCTAATCACAAGGTCAGTGGTTCAAACCCTCTTCAGAAGCCCTATACAAGGTCACTATGAGTTGGAAACAACTGGACAGTACTTAACAAAAACAACATATACATGAAAGTTGGACAGTAAATAAGGAAGAACAAAGAAGAATTGGTACATCTGAATTATTGTGTTGGAGAAGAATATTAGATGTACCATGGACTGCCAGAAGAATAAACAAATCTGTTTTAGAAAAAGTACTGTCAGAATGCGTCTGAGAATCCAGGATGGCAAGAGCTCATCTCTCAAACTTCTGACCAGTCTCTGGAGAAGGATATCATGATTGGTAAAGTGGAGGGACAGTGAAAAAGAGGAATACCCCCCAAGATGGACTGACACAGTGGCATCAGCAACTGACGCAAATGTAACAGTAATTGTGAGGTCAGCGCAGGACCGGGTAGTGTTTTATTCTGCTGTGAAGAAGAAGGAGCCAACTCCAACTCAGTGGCACCCAACAACAGCAACAGCAAGTAAGTTGCTATTGTTGTTATGAAGTGCCATCGAGTTAATTCCAACTCATAGCGACCCTGGTGAGCTTGAACCGACGACCTTGCCCTTCAAACCAACCTTGCAATCCAGCACATTAACCCACAGTGCCACACCAGGACTGCAACAAAATAATTATTGTACATTGGACCTAATGTTTGTTATTTTATAAAACTCCTCAGGGAAATATGAAAAAAACACTGACATTTTAAAATGACAAATTTGTTTTAAAATATGGCCCTGGTGGTGCAGTGGATTACGATTTGGGATGCTAACCTCAAGGTCAGTAGTTTGAATTTACCAGTTGCTCTGTAGGATAAAGATAAGGCTTTCTGCTCCTGCAAAGATTTATAGCCTTGGAAATCCTTTACAAGGTTGCTATGAGTTGGAACCGACTCAAGGACACTTAACAACAGCCAACATAAAATATACTATATTAATGATACACATAAAGATAAATAATTTAGTTGTTCTTTAGTTCATTTGGTACTAACACACCTTCATTATGGCTGATATCATTGTAAAAGCATAAAAATGCATATTTAAGCCACCTAAGGGACAATCATTGGCCATACCTCACACCTTGTAGTTCTCCTGAATGAATTTCTCTACATTCTGCAGATGTTTATACTTACTATGGAGTCCTGATGTTGTGCTTCTTCATAATGTGCTGGCCTGTAAACAGGTCAGTTTGAACCTCAAGGTTGGTGGTTAAAACCCACCAATCACTCCTCAGTAACACTATACAGGGTTGCTATGGGGCAGAACTGAAGCGATGGCATTTAACAGCAACATACTCACTACATGTTCCAGAGTCCCAAATGTGGTCGGCAGCCCATAGCTTATGTATGAAACTCTGATAAAGTAGTATCATAGTCGTTTTACAGCTGACGAAACTGAGAAACAGGAGACACAAGGAGTGCAACAAGCCAAGGGTCATGGAACTAGTCAGCTATCCAAGCAGCTAACAGAATTCAGAGGCTGCCGGCTTAGCCAAAAGGAGCTCTGCTAATGTAATGGTTAGGAATTAGGCTGCTAAGTGTTTGTGCTTGCTGTTTTGAGAAGAATTCTATACTATTTTCTAGGTACCTCTTCAGGAGCTCTGGTAGCATAGTGCTTATGAGTCGAGCTTCTAACCTCAAGATCAACAGTTTGAAACTACCAGCTGTTCTGCAGGTGCAAGATGACACTTTCTGCTCCTGTAAAGATTTACAACCTCAAAGATCATGAAGATAGAACAGGGCCAGGCAACGTTTTGCTTCTGAATGGGAGCTGACTGCCTGGAAACTAAGAACAAGACCCATTGATGCAGCCTTTCCCTTCTACTTCTACACCTGCAGAGTTTGGCCTACCTCCCTGTGACCTTCCCTGGTCAGGGCTTGACTTAGCACTCCACTCTGATGATTTCATATGTAGCCTCAATGTGTGATGGCTCTATTCCATGTGTCACATCCCCATCCTCATACCTGTTGCTTCAACAGTCAAACTACTTAGAACAAACTCAGCCTTTAGAATCAAGCAGAAACAGCCCCAAGGATTTCCTCGGATGCCCATTAAATATCAGAAATTCTTTTCTAAGTCAAAATCTTAATATAACCTTTGGTTTCCCATAAATGGCACTTTAAAAAGGTGTTTTATTTTCAGTTAGCAATAAGCAAGGCAATTGCAATAACTACTTAATTTAAAACAATATTTGCACAGAAATGGTATTCTTAATTACTTTGAAAGGAAGGAAATGAATGCCCTTCACAGGAGGCTTATAATGGACAATTTTCAGCTGACTATTTTCATGTCTCACCAAACCCTTTGATCCATGTGAACTCACTAATTCTTACCCAGGAAAATAATACCCCCTAAAGGCTTGGCCACTGCCTCTTGCCAGGGGTCCACACAACCCCACACAGCTGGGACCTGAGATCAGGACTGCAGCACAAAACCAGACACAGATAGCTTTCCCATCCATCCTCTGCCAACTGCCCTGGCTCCTGGCTTGTTTGCTCACTAGGAACCATCATTGTGGCTCTCTCCAAGCTCACATTTTTCCATCTGGCCCCAAGGAAGTCCCCAAAATGCATTTCTGAGCCAGTTCATAGTGGAGACTCTACCTCAGCATGGTGAGTGCAGATAGTCTGGTCCTAATGAATGATTGCTTTGACTGCACCTTCCATATCATCCAAGACTCTCTCTTCTACAGCAGTACAGCTTTCTGCTGGCTTTCCAGCTCATCCTTCTCTCCCCTTTGCCTGCTCTGCCTGAGAGAACAGTGAGTGTTAAATGAAACTGTCACCAGAGAGGAATAACGCATTTCAGCTTCCCATTTATCTGGAAAAGTGCCAAGCTCAGTGTTCCACTCTCAATAAATTGAACAAATGACAGGCAAACATATTTTTTCTGCTCAAGTTCAGTGACAAATGTTGACAAATATCATAATATATTAATTAATTGGTCTAGTTAATCAACAAACAGTTACTGGTCGCCTACGTCATGCCAGGCATGATGTTTGGTGCTTGGAATTAAATAAGACACCATCCGAGAACTTAAATAAATTCACAGCCCAGAAAGGGAGGCAAAGGCATTCAAAGAGAATCATAATGCAGGGTATTGCATGTGCTAACAGTATGGACAAAATTTCATGAGATTATTCTAAGGTGGGGCTGGAGTGGGAAGCAAAATCAGGCAGCTGTGTCCTAGCTGAGCCTTGAGCAATGAAAGAGTTTACAGGCTGCAAATCCACTAGTTCAAGGATACACTAACCCAGGGGCACTAAAGAGGCACCCAAGGGAGAAATATGGAAGAGTGGATAATAAGTGAAGATGCAACCAAGCTTAGTCCCACCCAGTGTCCAGAGACTGTTTCACAAAATTTGTCTACAAAACTGGTGGGGGGAAATAGTCAGATTCTCTGGTCTTTGGGGAAGCTGGAAAATGAAAATCTGGTCTTTGCAAATGCTCGTGTTCACAGGTAAACCCCTCATTGCATTAGTGATACCAAAGTGGAAAATAGATCCTTCCAGAAAAAAAAAAAATGGACAAATGAGATAAGTGTGTGAATGGTGGGCCCATAAAGAATAGAGGAGATTTCAACAGGACACATTTATTGTTTCCTGTATCTTAGCACATTGTCTCTCAATATGATTAGTTATCAGTCTCGGTTATCCAAAACTGGTATGAAATAAAGCGTTTACGCAGTAATGCTTCATTGATGTCAGCTAGGGGAGCGTGAACATCTCCATGAAGGTGGGTAATTGATGTGTAAATCAGAGCTCAATCACTCTGTAATAGAAATGGTCCCACTGAAAATATGCTTGTTGAACACAATTGCATAGAAACCAGAGGGAGGGAGAGAGAGAAGAGAAGGCTTATTTATTAAAAATGATAATAACTGGCAATTTGTGCAATTTTCTCTTCCACTGAGGGCTGCTGCCGGAAAGGCTTGTAAGCAAGTTGTGACCAATACATTCAGAGTTCCCTTCTGTTCTTTTGAACTGTGTCTGTTTTATTTAAATGCATGGAGACCCTGTTTTGGACGTTGAAAAAGCAAATTAAAACAGCGCATTCATCTCTGGAAACATAACACTTGTAAATGACATCCGTGATAGATCTCTGGTTAACCATACTTTCTCCAGGTATGTTTACTAGTGTCATTAAAACCCTAGCTCCCACTTTGCCTTCACTTCTGGAAGGGCAGCAAATAAACATGGACAATGGCATGCAATTTGATATTTTAATATTTAATAATGTAAATAACAAAATGCTATTGTTGAAAGAGAAGGAGCTCTTATTTCTATCATCATCATCATCATCATCATGACTACTTCAGGTGCCCTGATTCAGGGGTTTTGTAGCAGATTTTTCTTGCACTCTACAGGCCTCACTGAATACAGAGGGGATTCTCCACACCAAGCTCAGAAACAGTAGTTTGAATGGGCAATACTCCTGTCAAGTAATATGAAACAGAAAGAGCTAGCTTTCCCAGATCTTGGGAAAAGAATGGCTGACTTAGTAAGAGAATCAGGCTTATCCTGTGCATTTAGTGTGGAGCCAAATGATTTACTACCCACCAGAGCATGATCTATTCTTGAATCTTGGCCCAGTGCATGCAAATACACACATACATGACAAGTGCATTAAATATGGCAGCACAGGAGGCCGTGACTGGTACAATTGTGCTCTGTTGTGGAGAGGAGGGGACTTTGCTTATTTGAGGTCACCAGCTGTCTTGGTTGCTTGCCTCAGTCATATCCAGTGGCAGGTCCTAATCCAGATATTCTCTCCTGGAGAGAACACCTACATAAAGCAAGAACGCAGCCATTGGTTAAGGGTAGCAAGGGGGGCTTATCTGGAATGGCCTCATCTATTTTAGGTGTGTGCAGTCATAGTTTATCAATGTAAATAAAAAAGGGAATGAATTTGATGTATCCCAGGATTTTACACACGTGTTACTCTTTTGAAAAGCAACAACTATTCCTGTGTGGTGCTTTCGACTTCACAAAACACATACACACAAGTGAGCTTACGTGGGACTTGCAGAAACTATGAGTAATAGGCAAAGCAGACCCCTGTTGCCTCCCATTTCTCAGATGGTATCACTGAGTCCCAGAGGAATTAACTGCCGAATGCCCACTGTGGCTCAGCTGAAAAGGAGTAGAACCAGAAGATGAAGGTAGATTTTTTTTGAGTCCATATGCAGTTTTCTTCCTATGACATAGGAAGACTTGGCAAGGGTTAGAGCAAAGGAGCATTATTTATTAGTCTTTTTACAGAGTCCTTAATGGACTAGCTCGTATTCCATGATTACGCATTTTCACAAAATAAGCAGGAAAGGACTTTTGGGAAGAGGAGATCATTTAATGCAAAGGCCTCAGAGAGTGACTGATTATGACTGTCTGATACTGGGGAAATTACCGGGCCTCTCTGAGACTCAGTCTTTGCAGTTAACATATTCAACCTCACCTTCATTGACTCCTAAAATAAGCAAACAAACTAAACTGAAACACCTTTCCAAAGGAGCATATAATAAAGGAGGAGAAAAAGAACTGTACTGAAATTATCTTACACTGTGATATCCAGTATGATCATTACTACCTACACTGACAACCACTTATATGTCAGTTTGTCATACTGTGGTTTCTTGCAAGTTACTGTGTTGCTGGAAGGTGTGCCACAGGTATTTTTAATGCCAGTAGGATCACCCATGGTAGATAGATTTCAACGAACCTTCCAGACTAAGAAAGACTAGGAAGAAGGAGAGGTGGGCCACTTCTGAATGGTTAGCCACTGTAAACTTTATGAATGGCAGCAGAACATTGTCAGAGATAGTGCTAGAAGATGAGCTCCTCAGGTTGGAAGGCACACAATATGCAACTGCACAAGATCTGGAATTAACATTCATGACATGAATGTAGCACGGCTATCAGGATCTTCATTTGCTAATGGGTTACAGTTCAAAACGGGAAGAAAAAGCTGCAGAAATTCATTAATAATCACAACATGGAATGTGCAAAGTACGAATGTAGGAAAATTGGAAGTCATCAGACATGAAATGGAACACACAAACATCCATATCTTAGGCATTAGAGAGCGGACATGGACCAGTATTGGTGATTTTGAACTGGACAATAATACGGTTTACTATATTTTGAACTGGACTACATTGGGAATGACAAATTGAAGAGGAATGCTGTTGCATTTATCATCAAAAAGAACATTTCAAATTCTATCTTGAGGTATAATTCTGCCTGTGATACATACACCTACAAGGAAGAACAGTCAATACCACTATTTTTTTTTTTTTAAATTTATGCAGTAACCATTAAAGCTAGTGATGATGAAATTTAAGAAGTATACCAATTCGTTCAGACTGAAATTCATCCATCATACATTCAAGATGCATTGATTATTACTGGTGAATGGAATAGAAAGTTAGAAGCAAAGAGTAAGGAACAGTAGTTGGAAAATACTGGTGTTGGTGATAGAAATGACAGTGGCAAATGAATGATAGAATTTGTGTGGCACTGTGGGCTAATGCGCCAGACTGCAAAGTCGTTTCAACTGCAAGGTCGTTGGTGGTTCAAGCTCACCAGCTGCTCCTTGGAAACCCCATACAGGGTCGTTATGGGTCGGATTCGACTCGACGGCACTTAACAACAACAACAATCAGTTATTCATCGCAAATACCTTTTTTAAACAACATAAAAGATTAAGATACTCGTGGACCTCACTAGATGGAATATACAAGAACCAAATTGACTACATATGTGGGAAGAGACAGTGGAGAAGTTCAATATCATCAGTCAAACCCAGTCCAAGGGCAGTCTGTAGAACAGACCATCAGTTGGTCATTTGCAGGTTCAGACTAAAGATGAAGAAAATGAAAACAATTCCACAAGACTCAAAATATGACCTTGAATACATCCCACCTAAATCTAGAGACCATTTCTAGAACAGATTTGATGCATTAGACACTAATGATCAAAGACCAGAAGAGTTGTGTGATGACATCAAGAACATCATCCATGAAGAAAATAAAAGGTCTTTAAGAGAAGACAGGAAACAAAGAAAAGAACAAAAACAGATGTCAAAGGAGACTCTGAAAGTCACTCTTAAGCATAGAGAAGTTACCGCTACTAAAAGAACTGAGGAAGTAAAAGAACCAAACAGACAATTTCAAAGGATAGCTTGATAAGGTAAAGTGTTGAAATGTGCAAAGACCTTGAGTTAGAAAACCAAAAAGGAAGAACAAGCTCATCATTTCTGAAACTGAAAGAATTGAAGAAAAAATTCAAACCTCGGGTTGCAGTATTGAAGGAATCTATGGGACTGTATAGGAGCTCTGGTAGCGTAGTGGTTACGAATCGGGCTGTGAACCACAAGGTCAGCAGTTCGAAACTATCAGCTGTTCTGCGGGAGAAAGATGAGGCTTTCTGCTCCCGTAAAAATTTACAGCATCGGAAACCTTGTACAGGGTCACTATGAGTCGGAACCAACTCCACGGCACATAACAACAACAACAACATGGGACTCCTGGTGTGGGACTGGGGATAAGCACTGGACCACTAACCACAAGTTCGGTGGTTCAAACCCACCAGTCACTCTTCAGAAACCCTATACAGAGTTCCTATGAGTTAAAACAGACCCAACAGCACTTAACAACAATAACAATGGGCGAAGATGTAGGGAATACACAGAGTTACTGTACCAAAGAGAACTGGTTGATATTCACCCATTTCAAGAAATAGCATCTTATTAAGAGCTTATGGTATTGAAGGAAGAAGTCCAAGCTGCACTGAAGATATTGGCAAAAATAAGCCTCCAGGAATTGGAGCAATACAAACTGAATTATTTCATCTATGCCAAGAAATGTGGAAGACTTGAACCAGGCATACCTTAGTCATCAAACTGACAACTTTGCTCTTCAACACTTTAAAGAGAGTTTTTGGAGCAGATTTGCCTAATGCAAAATTTAATTTCTTCACTGCTGTTTCCAT